GTAGGTATATTATTTATTATCGTCTACTATATTATCGTCTATTAGGTTCCTGTCCGGTATTACGTATCGTAAGGCTTTAGGCGCGCTAGAGAGGAGGATATATACGTCGAAAGTATAGTTATCGCCTCCTATAAAGCTCGTAATCTTGCTCTAGCTATAGTCCCTTACTATCTATATAATATCTGCGTTCCTCGGCCTCCCTAGCTCTCGCCTAGCTAGTATTATATCTGTCGGGGACTCCGCTCTTAGATACTTATCCCCCGNGTTTATATCTAGTATATTAGTATAGTAGTTGCTAGGTTTATAGGGCGCGTTGCGCCCTTCGGGGTAACCTTTAGCGTCGCCGGCAGAGGCCTTAGTTAACCGCCTATTCCTCCGCTACTATCGCTAGAGGCCCTCCTATCTATCTCTTTAGTTTGCTAGCTATTACTAGTAGTTACTTCGTCTTTGCTATTTATGTTTTTTAATCGAGATCCTATCGAATATATATATAGTAGAACGACTTTAAGAAGTAAATAGCTATAAAGAAGATTCTAAGAGAGGCTATTTAATAGATAACGATAATAACGCCTAAGCTAGTAGATATTATTAAACGGCTAGTATTAGTTAAGATATAGAAGATACTTTATAGGAATAGTAAGTAGATTAAGAAAATAAAAGCTATAAGCTATAAGTTATACTAGAGCTAATAGAATACGACTATTAAGGCTATTACTATAATATCTAATTCTCCTTCCTCTTTTATCTCTTCTATAAGCGCTAAATAATATAGCGAAAGGAGCATTTAAGGTAACTTTTATAAATTCATAGCCTAAGCGAATTCAGTTCTATATAATAACTAGATAGTAATAAACAATCCCAAAACTCCCGTCCTCCTCTTCGAGATTGCGAATTATTGCCTTGTTCGCCTCCTGATCTTGACACAGTGGCAAATTGTGCTCGGCGAGCATGGTGGATGTTGGTCTTCTACACGTAGCAACCTGGGCCAGAGCTACTCGTGTAGCCGATCTTCATATGAAATCAGCTTCCTTTTGTGACCTTTCTCTAGCCCACGACGGTGATGTGTGGCTAACGGCATATTCGTAAATCTGCTGAAAGTCTTTGCAGATGTGCGTCGTGCTAATGCCATAGGTTCCCGATGACCACAAATCTAAGCCTAATGCTACCTGATACGGGTCCGACCCTTCCAGCGCCGTGTCTCCAAAACACATGACTGCCTGTCGAAGATAATCAAAGCAGTGAAAAACATGAGCCTCCTGGGTATGTGAAGCGGGATGCTGCTCGCGATGTCCGTTCTTGATGGCATCTCCAAGCCATGCGCGTAGAATGATCTCCTTCAAATGGAATTTGTTAAAACTGAGTTGACGAAACCTGGAGATCGCTTCACCTGACGTACCAAGCAGTGTAGCTGGTGGAATACGCTCATGGAGTACGAGAAGGGTTCATCTTGTGGTAATCCCTCATCGTACCGTAGCGGCGGTGGAAGCGTGTAGGATTTCGGGCTTTTGACTGGTATAAAGCCGTTCCCATCTAACTCAATTGTCAGAAGACATACTACAGTAATTTGTGTCACATCGTGAGACGGGTACTTCTTCCAGAGTACATACTTGGTATGAGAGTGCCCCAGTCTTGTAGAAGCTGTTGCACTTGGGTAGGAGATAAGTCTTTCCGTGTGACGGGAGGTCCAAAGACAGAGGAGTTCCAGTACTGCTGATACTTTCGCCTAACTTGAGGCGCACATGAGCTTGACAACTTAGCGACAACATCACGATCTTCACTAACACTGAGGAGTGATGCCGTTGATGTCTTCTCCAACAGCGAACTTTCGCATTTGCGGCGCCGTCAGCTGCCCTCGATGCAATGGATAGCCCTCTGGAATGAGCCACATTGCCAGGTCCAAGGATAACAGAGCGAGCGACAAGATCAGAGAAGCAACGAGGAGGCAGCTGTAGTGAGCTGATGATACGCAGAACATTATTGAAATTCTGGACGCGACCGTCATGTTCAACTCGATTGACCAGCAGTTCTTTATGGCTGTTCCCAAGGTCATTCTCCACCTGATCACCTTATCAGTGACGTGGTGGCAGAAATTGTGGTCAGAATTGCCGGAGAAGGGGTGTGAGCTACGATAATCCTAGCAACATTTCTCTCGTGCAGCATTTGGGCGAATTATAAAGGCTCAATGATGGGGCCGGTAACTGAGCTTGTCTTCCCAGCCTCTCATCCGGCCGGCAGTACACCTGCAAGGGTTGACGTCAATGACTGAGGCTGGAGGATCCTCACACACACTCACGACACTTTGACATTAGCCACAGACTCTTTCTCGACTCCTCTACCTCAGCATCATGTCGACACCCGAAGACGAGGTTTTGCTGCACTGCAAGGAGCGTACCGAGCCGAATCCACGAAAGTCGAGACGCTCCAGAGTCACCAAACTCATATTACTCGCTATAACTCATTCAGCGATAGCCTTCTTTGCGATGGGAGTGAGCCTTTCAACACATTGTACGGCACAGAATTGCGACGAGCAGGTCACCTCCCGTTGGATGTCTACGATCGATCGGCGACCACGAACTATGCAGTTCAACGGATTTGGACCATTTAATGCCTTTACAAGAAAAGCGGGAAGCAGTCATGATGCGGATGTGCAGCAACGCTGGATAGATTTGGGCACGTACTGTAAGTCACTCACACTCGAGGAGTCCAACTTCGAAGGAGGAACCAAGGACCAATCCATCCTCGAAGCAATACTGCAGAGTGTGTACTGAGACGAGACCCGTCCATTTAGCGAGACCGATGCTCCTCCCACTCCGATATGCGGCCGATTTCCAGCTTGAAGCATCGATGCATGTCGTCGCCCGGCCAGAGACATATCCTGGCACCTCTGAAGCGGGCTTTCCAGTCACACTGGAGATGTTTCATCAGCTCCACTGTGTCGACTATCTGCGCCAGGGGCTCTTCTACAACGTGGCTTACTATCGCAACGAGGTGCACTCGTTGCCGTGGCTGGAGGCGAACGACACGGACGCCGTCGAGACTCATTTAGCACACTGCGTGGACGCTTTGCGTCAGTTGATTCTTTGTCACGCTGACATAGGCGTTGCACCATTCAAGCTGGGCGAGCAAACGCCTGATTTTGGACGACCCAGGACTTGCAGGAATTGGGTCAGTGTCAGAAAATTTGGCGTCGAAAATGAGTGGAACGGAATGGATCCCATTAGGGTTGATAATCTCCATCTCTCTGGATCACTAGATGGGAGGGTCTTGACGTTTTCGGACACGGAAAGTCTCTGGAAAGGGCTGTAAGCTCTGAAACATTGCCTTGTACGACCATTGTGAGCAGTCTTTGCTGGTATGAAGGTAGTGGAGACCAAGCTTTGAACTTAGATCAATTTCCTAATTGAGCTCGACCACGCCGGCATACCGATCAAGGAAGTACCCGCTTAAGTACCTGCTGCCTACCCCGCTTAAGTACCTGCTGCCTACCCCGCTTGAAGTGACCCTTGCTATACCGCAGAACCTTTTAGTATTTATTGCTATGCAAGGGGTGGTCCCAGGTAGGTCCAAAACTTTATAGCTCAAGGATAGACCTTATAGCCTGATACTCGGCAAGCTCTTAGACCGTAATTCACCGATGAAGATTTTTGGGCGGGGTCAAGTGTTTTTGCGCGGCCGGTTCAACAATACAAAGTT